ACACACACACACACACACACACACACACGCACGCACGCACGCACACACACACACACACACAGCAGAGAGAGAGAGAGAGGCATATATAATTTCTTTATAATTTCAGGTTACTTCAAGTACAGTAAACAATAAAAATAAAAACCAAGAAGAATAAGTAAATCAAAAGATGTGAAATAAATATTATTAAAAATATTTAAAAGTTTAATATTAAATAGATTAATATTTTTAATTAATTAAACTTAAAAAAATTTTATATTATTTTTTATAGTATAGAAATATTTCGATATTTTGTTTTCTATTCAATTATACTTTCATCTAGATTTTTAATATTTTGTATTTGTATTATGTTACATCAACATTGCTGTAATATAATGTATGATGTCATTGTTACTAAAAAGCTTAAATATTAAATACTAATTAGTATTTGGATAATGATTGTATTGGATATATTATTTTTTATTTAGTACATTTTTTTGAATTTAAATTGTATATTTATAAAAATATTATTATAAGTATATAAATCTTTTATATATTATATCTATGTATATGTATATGTTATACTTATATGTGTGTTTACAAAAAACTTTTATATTAACTTAGATTATTATAGAATATTAATAGAATGTACAATTTATTTATTATAATATTAATTTAAAGATAAATTTATATTAGACAAGTAAATTTCATATTGCTTTCAATTATCTATAAACATGAAATGGTATTTTATTTAAGATTACAAATATATGTAAGGTATTATAATAACAAATTAATTAATTAAATATAAGTATAATTTAAAGATAATATATAGATTTATTTGATAAAATATTTTTCCAACCATGTTGCAATAAAAACTTTAATTTTTTTTTAATTAATATATTTTTGAAGAGCTGCTATATTATGATTTTCACCTTCATCATTACTATGATTATATAATTCCTCTGCAATAATATCATTCCAATTTGGTAATTTAGTTTCAGATTTAAATGATAGCCAAGCTGTATAACGATATTTATTTGTTCTTATCGTGTATCCCATTGCTTTAATCTCTTTTAAACGTGGTTCATCGCTATTTGGATGTATTGAAGGTTTAATGCTTGGTCTTGGATATTGTCCAAATGCTGCTTCTTTCCACAATATTGACTAAATTTTGGTAAACATGGTTTATTGATTAAATTATTAAGTATATATATTTCAATATATAGAGGAGTTTCAATAATTATCTATTATTATAAAGAAATTGAACTTTTAAATTTATTGTACCTCCTTTCTTAAAGCAGCTTGTATAAGTGGCACAAAAGATATTCCTTCACTGCAAGTAATTTCCATTGTTTCATTTGAACAAATAGGTATTGAAATATTTGCTAAATCTGCAATTGTTGGAAAAATATCAACTAATTCAACTATTGAATTTATAAATAATGGATTCTTTTCTAATGAATTATTTGCTTTCTCTTTTAATCTTTTATAAGTAAGTCCAGGTATTGATATTATTAATGGTACTTTTAAAGCAACATCATAATTACTGTATTTTGCCCATTCTGAATGCTCTCCTAATGACCATCCTATGCAAATATTGATTAGAAAAATAAAGTATTGATTAATAATTCAAGAAATATAAAAATTTTAATTATTATTTTGGCTTACCATGATCAGACATTAATATAATAGTAGTATTTTTTCGAATTGATAAAACTTTCAATTGATTTATTAATTTACCAATTAAATCATCAATATATGTTACAGATGCATAATATGATTGAATAATTAATTTAGCAAAGCTTTCTAAAAATTAAAAAGATATCATATCAGTATATATTATAAGAATAAAAATTAATTTTCATATATTAAATTGTACTTGGTATTTTTTTCCATGGAATTTAAGATTCAAAGCAGCAACATCTTTCCTTTTTCTTAAATCATTCCATGGATTATAAGCTATGCTACTAACATTTTTTGACCATTTGTATGGTTGGGGTACTTTAAATTTTTGCAAAGGATGATATTCTACAAAATATCTTTCATAAAAATGATTTCTTTAATTAAAAATCTTATAATTATTATAACAGTGATAATATTGAATATACTTATATATACTTAAATATTTTTTAGGATATTTGAATGGTATATGTGGTTTTTGAAATCCAACTGCTAAAAAAAAAGGATTTCCTGCTTGATTAGATAAAAAATATTTAGCTTCTTTTAATATTTCTATATCTGGTAATGTTTTATTTGGCATTGACAAAACTTTAACTGGACATATCTAAAATATGAAAAAGAAAATTATTATATATTAATATTTTTTTCAATTTAAAAAATTTTTTTTAAATAGTAATTCATCATATCAAATATTACAAGATTTTGTGCTGGTATTTGCATATTTATTTGACATATTGGAGCATCTTTATATCTTTCTGTGAATGGATGGAAAGGAGTTTCTGACCATGAATAAGGATTATCATCAGAATTGTTTGAACTAATTCCTGTAAAACATATAATAAGAATGATGTTAAAAAATTCATATTGAAATATTTTATTTAAAAAAAGAGAAACAAGAAACCTGGATGAAAAACTTTTCCTATGGATTTAGTAATAAATCCATTATTCTTGAAATGTTGCGGCAATGTTGTAAAATTACCAATATCTTTCCGCCAGTAACTATAAAAGTCATAAAGATGAAGCGTATCTGGTCTTCGACTTGTTAAAAATGAATTCCTACTTGGTGCACATAATGCTTGCTACAAAAATTTACATATTCTCTTTTTATTATTTATATTTTTTTTATTTAATATAATATATATAAATTTCGCATGTTTTAAATTTTTATCTTATGCTAACCTGAGCAAATGCTTGAGAAAAAATGGCAGCTTCTGTTGCTAAACGATCTATATTCGGTGTGTATGCTCTGGTATCGCCGTAACATCCTAAAGCAGTTCTTAAATCGTCAACGATAATTAAAAGAAAATTTTGTTTTTGGGCCGCGCACCAAGCAATTAAATTTATAAAATGTAACATAAAAAACATTGCTTATTATATCAAATAATATAATTATAGTACTATGAAGAGCAATTCTGTTTAAATTAAGATTAAATAATACTACAGATAAAATAGCATCTCAAAGAAATAATACTGTACGAGTAATATTATTCAATATAGTTCTGCATAAAAAAAATTAAAAACTAAAATATTTCATATATTAATAACATTTGTAAAATAAATAATGAGATTTTTATATGTTTTTTATGCATATAAGTAATTATGTATTCTATATTTAATGAATTTTCTGATTCTACTTACTATTGCACTTTATTTTTCAATGTACAGACATATAAATGAAAATGCTATGTAATACTTATATATCTACAATATCTATTATAACTATAACATGACCTGACATAAATTACATCAAAATTATACAATAATACAAAATAGTAAAAAATATGGAAAGTCAAGAGTTTTCACATTAATATATGCACAAATTACTGCAATGAATTTTTTTCTTGTTTTTCAAAAACTTTATTCTTATATTTGTCATAATGTTGGTATTATTATCTATGAAATTTTTATTTTGCATTTATGTATTGTTATATTAATTGAATATTGAATTTTAAGTTTTTAAATTTAAGTTGCTTTTCATATTATCTTTTGAAATATTACAAAATTAATTTAATATTTTCTTTAAATAGTAGAATTATGATTTTTTATTAAAATAATAGTAAAATATATTTAAAAACATTGAACATATTAATTCTCTTATAAAGAAAATTATTTTTCTTAATTTCTTTCATTATATATTTTAAACAAGTATTGCTTTTTGAAATAAGTATTAAATCACAAAATTGTTAGTTATTTCTAAATATTAATACAAATCTGAATATTTGTTTATTATAATATTATAAAGTATGAAACTTTTGTTGTATGGTTTTTACAATGAAATAATTAAAAACCATAGAGAAATAATTCTGATCTTAGAGTTATCTCTCTATTTCAGTCTTTGTGACTGTAACTTTAAATCAAAGATTTGAGTAATTAACAAGGGCCAATAATAAAAACAATAAAAATTGACTAGGCAAAAAAATAAAAAATAAATATAGATAGGATATTTCTGTTTGTAAAGAGAATTCAAAACAATAATTTATTTCATAATTTGAATATTTTCGGCCCTAGTAAAGTACTCTGATTCATCACTACAATTATTTATTCTCACATTTATAATATCAATTTATTTGAAGTCAATCTCTTGCTTCTTTCTTAACAACTGATAATGATCTTTGATCATCAGTACTTATAGTACAGTCATTTACATTAATATTATTCTTTGCTTTAAAATCAGTCTTAAAATTTGCTTGCAAATTAGTAGTATCATCTTTAAATATTTCAGTATAATGAAAACTACTCCCAGTCTTTGTGTTAATATTATTACCAGTACCATTTGAATGCACTTCAGTAAAGTGCTTATACAACATTACTGTTGTACTAAATTCTGTTTCACATCCAGGAATTTTGCAACTGAAATATGTTCTGTTTTAATGATCTATTAGTTTTTTAATAACAAATTCAAAAATGTTTGGAATTAATATATATATTAATAATAATATAATATAAATAATATACTTATTTGATTGCTTTTATAGTATTAATTATGATTTTTAAACAATTGATTAATTATGATTTTTAAATAATTTTTAAACAATTCTATTACATATAACTTACCGAAATATTTCACTATTTTTATTTCCTTGTATTATTGATAGTTTTGAATTAGCATGATTATCCTGGTAATGTTTCCATAGACCAGTTACATTGCTCACTTGAGCTCCACATCCGGGAATCTTGCATCTAAATAATATATAATAAATTTGTATAAAAAAATTAATTTTTTGTAAAATAATCTGAGATAAAAAGATACAATAAAAATAAGAATTTTAAATTGTATATAATAAATTTTATAAAATTCAAGATCATCTATTATTATAAAGCGAATTGCAAAAATAAATTTTTATATATCAGATTATTTTATGATAGAGTTGATTTTTATCATGAATTAAAATTATTTTTTTTATGTACATATAATTATACATATATTAATAAATATTGTCTGAATAATTCATAATAATTGATATATAATAACAGATTATATTATTTACATATCAAGTTATAATACATCAACAGTTTTATATATATATCAATATATATATATATCATAATAGTTATTACATTGATTCATTTATTATGTTGATTTCATTAATCAAATTTATATTTTTTCTTAGAAAATTTTGGATAAAACAACATGGATATTTAGATATCTTTTTTATGATTCTTTAAATATAATTTTTTTTAAATAAAAATATTATTCTTTTACTTACAAGAAAAAACTAACTGTTGAAGCTTTCCCTTGTTTTAATTTTAATATTGATTTATTAGAATTTGAATTAATTGAACTATTATTGGTTGCTATTTTATGACTATCTTGATGATGACGATAATGGGATATGTATTTGTATTTTCTCCCACAGCCATTAATAGCACATTTGTAAATTTCTTGCTTATACCTAGACATGCGTTGTTTTTTTGGAGTATATTCTTCATCATCTGAGCAATTACTATTTGTTTCTATAGTATTTTCTTCAGTTTTCGGAATATCACGATCAAGTTCATTTCTAACAATTCTTTCTAAATTATCTAGTTCAATCCTATGTTCTTGATTTCTTGAATTCATATTACATATTTCATTTTTTGTATTTTTTGTAATGGTAATATCACCATTTACATAAATTAAACTATTTTTTTCTTGGGAATGTTCAGTTTGCAATTCTGAGCATTTATTTGTATTATTCTCATATTTGGATAGAAAATTTTCTGTATTTAGAATTAAATTTTCATTCATAGAAAATGTATTAGTTTCATTTAAAGATTCATTAGTGGAAGAATAATCTTCTTTTGAACTATCATTTATAACATTCTGATCATGGGAGACTTCATTTTTTTGTACATTATCATTTCTGAGAAAATTTCGCTCATTATCATCATATTGACATATTTTTATTCCAAAAGTTTCACTTGCTCTTTTTTCATAACATTCTTCCGTGCTTTGTACATTTTCTTCATCTATTGCATTTTCAGGATCTTCAAAGCATATTACTTCTGGTTCAGTTGGTAATGTTGGTGGTTGTCTATGGCAGTTTTCGATATGTTCTTCAAGATTGATACTAGTTGTATGTAAAGATCCACAATTTGTATATGGACATATAAATACATTTGTTTCATTATTATGCCATTCTTGATAATGACGCCACATGCTTCCTGGATCAGATAATTCTTCTCCACATCCTGGTTCTCGACAGCTATAAATTTAATTATTAGTTATATACTGTGATATATATTATTATATAATATTGCAAATAAAGTTAAAATATTCTTAATATTGCATATTTTGTAATTTTATATATAAATTTTTCTTAACAAAGCTAACTTACATAAATCTAATTTTTAAAGCTTCAAGAGCTTCGTGTGTTTTATATTCATCTTGATTGGTAAATGTCTTACCACAACCCCGTTGTTTGCAAGTATATACTTCCTAAAAGTATAATTTAAATAATATATATTTTATAAATAAATATATAATTTTTATTTACATAATTTTTATCAAAAATTTAGTAAAATACTGATGGATAAATTGATTAAAAATAATGGCAAAATTAAATATTTCAAATTACATCTATTTTTTTTGTTTTATTTTTTATTTAAATATTATTTTTCGTCATTAAAAAACTAATTAAACATATGTCATAATAAGTTAACAAATATAACATCGCTGAAAGATTTGTTTTGAGTTAAAGGTCATTGAACTCATTAAATGGCTCCAGTTTTTACCTTTTTGGGGGCTATTTCCTCAATGGTACGATTTCTAGACACAAATCTGATGACACTAACTTCAGCAGGTCTATCTGTGCATGTATCTGTACCTTGGCCCATCTTGGCCAATTTGCAAGAAAAATGATGAATAACGACCCGTTTCGATGCTCACATAACCTGCATTCACCAACAAGAATTCAGAAGGGAATTTTTCTTGCACCTTGAATGAAAGTTCCAAATACACAATCATTTCTAGAAATAAGATATTTTATTGAGCTACTTACCAACAAAATGCACTCCCATTCGCACCGAAATGTCTTTTTTTTTCACCTCATATTATACCATTGCCAATAATATCAATCATTTGTTGTCATTTCAATATACTCAAGCTACTTCATCGTAAATACATATTCACCATAGTCTTCTCGTCCACCATTATTATAAGTTTTATTTCATATATAGTTGAGAATCACTGTGATGCACCTTTCGATGTTTATTCTATCTAGTTCATATTAATTCAAGTTAATATATCGATAATAATATCGATAATGTATCGATAATTAATATAGATATTTATCGATTTTTTTAAATATTTTTAAATTTAAATTTTTTATTTAAATTAAATTTTAAATTTTTGTATGAATATTTTTTAAATTTTCAATCAAAAATTTAAATATGAATTATTTTTAATTGATGATTTATTTTTAACGTCATATTGTTCATGAATTTTTAATTCTTTATAATATCAATGAATTCTTATAATGTTAAAATCGAAAAATCGAAAAAATTGATTGATGCAAATTTGTAGAATTAAAAAAGCAAATTCAAATAAAAATTATTAATAATTATTTATATTATATTATTATATTATTATTCATATAATTAAAAACGATTATATTATATCAATCACATATATATAATATTTTTCAATTATAAATTTTCAAATATAATATTATATATTTATAATTAATTTTTATTTTTTAAAAACTTATCAGATTAAATTCATATTTATAATGGAAGATATTAATAATTGCCAGTTGCTATGTAAACATTACATTGTCGCTATTAGTCAAGATATGACTAGTCATGTTAATATCGATTTACTTAGATAGCAAGTTTTATTATAAAAAGGAACTATATTAATGTACATATTAACATATAGTCTTTATTTAATTATAAATAAAAATAATA